TCTCTCTCTCTCTCTCCCTGTCTCTCTCCCTGTTTTATCTACTATCTGTTCTCTTTCTCTTTCCCTTTCTCTCTCTCTCTCTCTCTCTCTCGTTCCTTCTTTCCTTCTTGATTCTTTCCTTCTCTCCTTCTTTTACTTCTTTGTTTCGCTCGCTCCCGGCTGCAACCTCCAGTGAGGCAGCCATGCCACTGAGGACGCGAGTATGGAAAATGCGCATAGGGATTGAATCACTTTCTGCCTGCGAGGTCGCTTGAAACCCAGTTCAGCACGCGATCCCTATCGCCGCTTACATGCCTGGTTGTAGGTCTACGAGGGTTTCAATGAAGCACCAAGCAATAACACAAGAACCAAACGACTCCGCAAAGAACCTACATGGATAGCTCAAAGGCCTACATCCAAGCAACAACAAGACGAACTAGCACAAATACCAAGGAGTAAGACTTGTGCAGGGACTGTGTAAGGCCTAGTATAAATCTGGACAGAAGTTCCGACTGGAAAGTCTCCCAAACTTTATTCAACCGTTGTTGTTCTTTTTGAGAGGATAATTCTTAACCTTCCTTGTTTGGTGCCGGGAAAAACATGCTTGGATTGTTTGCCCCGACGGCGAGCATCGTCAGGATAGTTGAAATAACCATGCTACATCAGCACCCGACAAACAAACCAAATACACTGCCGGATTTGTTTGCCCCGGCTCATTCAGCCAACTGGATGGCCAAAACTTGGATTATCTGAATCTCTCTGTGTTGCTGTTTTTCTTGTATTCTCAGGATGTGGTCACTAAAATAACACTGAACATGCTGACAAATGTTCTTTGTTGAGGAAACTGGTCTTGCAAACATGTGACCAATGACCAATCAAAGAAACCCAAAGCTAGCTCAGCTCTGGCTGCATTCGGCCCAAACAATGTGAGCTGCGCAAAATGTTCATCTTCTCTGGATGCACTGATACACTCCCTGAAATGATTTGTGGCATTCTACGGATGGCAAAAGGAAGGCCACTGGAACCGAATGCCAAACACATGATTCAGTTTTAGACACTACTTCACCCGAGTGAAGTGAAAAAGTTTGGACGACCAACCGCTGCAGATCGTCTCTGCAAATCACGGGCGGCCACCGACAGGTCTGTCCCGAAATGGTAACAAGGCTCAAAGGCAACGGCCATCATATTGGGGCAAGATCAGACTTCCCGGATGACGGGTCCACTTGAAACATGTTAAAACTCAGGGTCTAGCACATCCGGGCGATACTTGTTTCAAGTGAAAACGAAAAGTGCTATGCTCGCAGAAACTTTCATATCGCCTTTCATTGCCTAGTTAGGATGGCTGTCTACGAATCGTCGAAACTGTGCCGAGTAGTTTGGCCAAACGGCTTACAAGCACATGTGTCTCAAGGAGCATGTACGTATATTCATGCAAATATTGTCATTGGGTAAAACAGAAAAATATATTTGTCTATTTATGCGGATGTGTATGTATGTTATATAAACTATATTGCGAACCTTTTTCTCAATCCAAAAGGGCTGCAGTAACGTCAGACAATGCTGTACACGCTGTGAATACTAGCTGCGGTTGACCTTGAAAATGCTTCATACTCCTTCTTGGTAGTGTGAGCGATCGAATTGCAATTTTAAGCTTGGTGCAGGATCTATTTCTGGGCGGTCTCTTCTCATCTCTGCTAATTCAAGCAGCTGTTCATAGCGTTCCTTCTCTTTCTCAACTGCGTCTGCTAGCTCTTCTCGTCCTCTTCCTGGTAATAGTTCATCTATTCTTTCCAGTTGCTCGATTTTTCTCAAAAAGTCGGCCCCACATTTGTATTGCCTACGCTCTTACATACTCTGCTTTCATTGATAGTCCCCTATTTCCTGGTCTGAATCTCTTTGTCAATGGTCCATTTGAGGGAACTCCTCCTTGGTTGGCTGCTTCTAACATCAGTCTATGACCATCATATTGTCCTTATGTTGGCTTCATGTCTTCCAAGCTCCTTGAGTGTTTGGCGTCCCTCTCTACAACGCCTCCATTGAGAATCAATCCACTGTGAATTCTCCTGGCATAATCTCTAAGTAGGTCAATCTGATGTTCATCACATCCATTTTCTCTGATCATATCCTCAAGCTCCACCATTCTGAACTCTGCTTTGATTGCTCTGAGCTGAATAGTTTCCATTGCACACTCAAATAGGCTGGAAGCATGCTTGCAGGGCTTCCATAGTACAAAGGTTACTGCCGCAAAACCAATGACAACAATTGCAAGAATCACAATGATCAGAACTTTCCCGTTTTCATTGAATTCTTTTCCTCCTTCTAATCTACACTGGATGTTTTCCGTCTCTGGATGTTTTCCGTCTCTCTTGCGAATGCTTCTGCAACCAGTGGCTGCAAGCCCTCAAACGCTACCGTTCTCACAATCATCTTGGCCATCTTGTTGAACTTTCCTGCAATTCTTCTTCTCTTCAAACACCTTCCTCTCATACTACGCCTACACCCAATGAGGTTCATCAAGTATCTGGTTCTTTGTCATCCAAGTCGCTTGGTACTGATGTCTCCCATGTTGCTATCTGTTGGCACTTGCACCATATTGAAGTCTTTTCTGTTCTGAATCCAAAGCAGCTTTCCATCCGACTGTCTCACTTTTCCAACTCCTCTCTTCATCACAAGTTGGCGCGGCTGGCGCGCGCTCGAAGAATCTGTGAAGATGTACTGGTCCACCTTTGTCCGTGTAGAGACCAGCTGATGCTGAAGAAACTATTGCACGCACCTCTGCTTCACGCGAAGACAACAAGCTAATGATCTTCTGTATCCTGCTGCTGCTGAACAATGGACAACTGTTCAACGCATGAAACCCTCCTGACGTTGACTTTCTGTGGCTTTTGTTTCCACTCCAGTCTCAATCTGAGAATGTTTCCAAGCGCCAATAGCTTTCTCCTTTCTTGACACAGCCTTCTCTTGCTTGTGGAAACTCAACTACTACCCATCGTCTTCTTCAAGTATCCTAGGAGTTTCTTCAAGTGGTGAAATGACATAAGCTCCTGGATTTGACGTTCTTGAAGCCAATTCCTTCACTGTAAATACTACACCATACCTCTTCAGAAGCATTAGATACCTGATCCAACAATGCTTCTGAATAGGCTAATCTTCTCTTCTTCATGTAAGACTTCTGATGTGTGTCCCATCTGAATTGAATTGTCTGATGGTGTTTGATAATGGATTTTGGCCTTCCCAATCTGTTCTTCATAAGCTTTCAGCATCTGCTGGATGTAGTAACCTGGCTGGATCCATAGTCCATCTTTCTCTAGTTTGAAGTTGAACTCATCATCAACCTTCTCAATTTTGCTCACACTGGTGTCAAGCCTGTCTTGGGTCTTTGGAAGAAAGATTTCACTGATGTACTTTGAACAACCTGTGAAAACCAAGTCATCCGCATGAATCAAAATGATACTCTTTTCATTTTTTCCTAGGCATGGACACGGAGTGCTGAACTTGTAATTGAGTTCCTCAGTGAGGTACTCTGTGAACAAGTCAAACCATGGTTTTGCTCCAACTCTTTGTCCGGGTAAATTTCTCTTCACCAAGAATTCTCCTCCTCCCAAGTTTACGTTCAATGGTTTCTCTTGTGGAACTGGCAAGAATGCATCCTTCACACCAAGCATCCTAGCATGTGGGAAAATGCTCCTTCTCCCTCTCTTGCTTCTTCTTCACTGACTCTCTGCAAGACTATTGTGGGTGTGAGCTTCAGTACGTGCCCTGAAGTCGCTGCTGGCGAGAACATGTCATCTCTCTTTCCTTCAGCAAAAGCAAAGTTCTCTTGCAACTTGTCTTGATCTTCTCTTCCACCTTTTGCTTGTTGTTTCATCTTCATAGTGGCACGGCTTCTTTCTCAAGTCATGCACATGTCAGGAAACTGATTCCTTCTGCGCTACCTTCTGGTTTCTCTAGCACCTGCATCTTCTGGAGTCTTCTCTCTTCCACTTCATCAGCTACTCTGTCTATCCACTCTTCTGGATCTCGTTCAGGTTTATATTCTCCATCACGCCATTAGCATTCAGGTCCATTCACTTCATCTTCTTCTCCATCTCCTTCTTGTTCACAATCTTCTTCATCAACTTCTTCTGCAACTGGAGATAGCTCATCATCAGGGAGTTGCACCCATCTATTCAGCACCCAACTGGCATGTCTTGGTGCCCAAGTCCACAAAGTGCATGATATGACCTATCCTGATACCAAGTCTCGACTGCACACCTTCAATGAAACTTCCTGCAAGCTTTCTTGGCCTGTCAATACGGTTGATGTAATCGATCTTGTAGTGAGTCCTAGACTGTGGCGAGCACTGATCAGCATCTTTAGGATCTGTCTCGTTGTGGGTTCATTGTCACTCGCGCAGGCGATTGCTGAATGCCCCAACAATTGACTCAAATGCATCAACTCTTGCGCAATGAGACGAAATTGGCTCTTGCTTCCTAATGGCACAACATGAATGTACCCAGTCTGCTCTTGCTGGCTTTGTCTCTCTAAATACCTTGCTGCTGTGTAGCAAAAGTCAAAGCTTAGCTCGGGGATACTTCCTCTCTTTACTCCATCTGTTCTCTCACGGCGATCTGGACGCGCTCGATGCTCAATGCATTCCTTACACCAATCGGCATATGGCATGTGCGTCAACCTGCGTCGTGCCTGAGTGGCTTTACCTGGCATCTTTGCCACACTTTGGTAATGCCTCTCTTGTCTCTTGAGCTTTTGCTTTAGTCACCAAGCTTTTTGCATTCAAAAGTTCCATTTTCTTGTTGTGACTGAGGATCTTTGTGTAGACCTTTAGATTAGAGCCACTGCCTGAAATGCCGAGAATGAATACGCTGCCCTCAAAGTTGCCAAAGAAGAATCCTTAGTCAACTCTATTCCATTCGCCAAGACTTTGTCTACACCCATTAAGCTCAATTGTAGTTCACATTCAAATTCCTCATCGTTCTTTTCACCTTCTTTCTGACCTTCTATCTCCTTCTCCGGTGGAGTAGGGGTAATCTCTTTGATTGCCTGCTCCACTTCTTTGTTTCTCCCTTCTCTGTTTTCAAGCTTCTGTATCCTGGCGCAAAGAATCCCATATCTTCTGGTGGCGCTGGCTCATAGCTGAAGATTGTGATTGAAGGAATGACTGCATCATCATTAAAGAACTGCTCATCAGGCATACTTTCACAATGTTGAGGCATTAGCCATCGACCTCCTGTTTGCACCAAAGTGGTTCTCGTTAGCTCTGGTGATTCTTCCTCTTCTGGAATGACTGTGGGATCCACATATCTTGAAGTCAATAAGCTTCCAACTGGGCAGTTCGTGTTCATTGAATCTCCAACCTGCTGCCTTTTCCAAAGCTTCATGTACTTGCACCTCCAAGCAGCTTTCATCTTCATCTCTAATGACTCTAATGCGGCCGCGAACGGTCAAAGAGCGATTTTGCAAGTTGAGTGGTACCTTCAAGTCACCATTCTCCAAAGGTTTGCTCTCGACCATTGATTCCCAAACCATGCTCCATCAGTCTTTCATAGCAACGTATGGGCTGATGCAATTTTGAACTGAAGATCACATTCTCTTTGAGAAGTACTTCACTTCCATCAAGGTCACGCAAAGAAACCACAACACTTTTTGGAACTGGAGCCGCGGCGGCGTGAGACCTGAGGGCAAGCAAAGCGCCGGCCTGGTGTTGCGTCTGTCCCGCGCGGTCCCGTGCGCACCCGCCCGGTCACTATAGGTCACTGGCGCCGAAGGGCACAGCACGTGCGGCCACCATCTCCTCGCCACCGGGGTCTTGGCAGAGAAGGTCCTCGGAATTTGGAGCCCTGGAGCGCGGACTTGGTGGGACCCAGCGGCGAGCGGCGACGGCAGCCTCACGAGTTGGCGCAAGAAATCAAGCAGCACGATGTGGCAGCTCTCAGAAACGCGTGGCCGAGTGCGAAGTGTGAAAACTTGAAAAAGCTGTAGTCTAGTAGCGATGCGAGGAGCCCATCGACATATATAAAGAAGTCGGCGGGCGCTGGCTGGCTGAAAGTTATCAAGCAGACCAAAATACCAAAGCATACTAAAGCCCAGCCAGGAGATTGTGGGGAAAAGTCCATCCACTCCTCTGCATTCGACAGTATACGCAGACATGCCCTGTTCTTGTCGACCGGACAAAAGCCATTTTCATGGTTCATCATACTTCCACTTATTTCACACCACTGGCTAATCTTGATAGTTCCCACGTCAGAGCCACCTTTGTCAGATGGAGATCTGAGGCGAAAAAGGCCGAGGAACTGCTGTCTCCAGTCCTTCGCCTCTTGTCACCCAACCACACCCACGTGCGCCTGGTCGTGCCTGGCGCGCTTCGAAGTGTGCCTTGGTGGCACCATTGATCGCGCAACAGCGCGTGTGGCCCAGCACCTTCGGAGCGTGTGCGGTCCACAAAGCTTGTGGGGGAACGGAGGTGAAATGTGTTGGTGTCGCCTGGACGCCCGTCTCCAGCAATGGCATTCTTTGATGAGATTGACCGCTCGCAAGTGGCTATGTAAAATTTAATGTCACAGCTCAGAACCTGGCCCTGCCTTGCCCACGACTGACTCGGACACCGACAGCGCGGCGTCAGAGGCTGCAAGCAACCGGCGTGAGGGCACTGCCTCGGACACGCCAACGACCGCACACAGTGAACAGACTACAGCTCCACCAAACCTTGCGCCAGTCCAGCCAATGCTTTGGAAACTCTGCGGTGACATTGGCGACGGCTTCTTCAACCGCGTGATCTACTCGCAGCAAGGTTGTGGAGCACGAGCTCGTGGGCCTGAGGCGACCTATGTGTCGACGTTCACGCACGCCGTTCAGTCCAACGGATTGGGCGTGGACCAGGTGCAACTGGGTCCGCAGCAAGCAAGCTTCTCTGGCAAGTGCAACCTTTTCTACTTTCTCCTCTGCCGCTGCACGTAAGCAACGTGTTTCATCGTCGCCACATGGTACGCACAGTGTTTCCTCAAAATGGCCCCACCACACGGACACTCCATCTTCTCTGAGCCATTGACCCAAAGCTTCGCTGGGTTTTTGGTACTGCGTTTCTTTTGACATGTATTTTTGACCTGTCGCGGTTCGACAGCTCGTCCAAGCTTTACAGGTTGAAACTTCCCAGCACGCTTCAGGAGTGACCAGAGTTCTCGAGTCCATGGATGTCGCTCTTGCATGCATAGCAGCGTCGAATCCAATCAGACATCGATCACACTCACTTCTCCCCTTCGGTGTTTTTCTCCCCTTCGGTTGCGCATAAGGTGACTTACAAGAACTAAAGTTGATTCACAGCAGCACGAGTTCTCAATAAAAACTCACGCTTTTACACGGATGCGCTGCACATCATATGTGTATCACACATGTATGCATGACGGCCAGACAAAACAAATGCACGGAACATATCAATCAACAATGAAGAAGCCACCACTGCTTCACACCTACCGGCTCAGCAATCTTGGTTTTGTTTCTAGCACGGAGTTGTTTCAATAGCGGCGTCAGAAACCACTTGTTCATGAAGGAAACAGCAACAAGACAACAGCTTGATTCCGCCTCCCTCGTCTCACATTGGGCTCCACTCACATTGGGCTCAGGCTGAGCGCGAGAGCTGAGCCCCAAAGCTTCCGTCACCCTTGGCCGTTGATGGATATGCATGCACCAGAGATGAATCGAAACCCGGAGAAACTTCTTTTTCCTTCTGATATCCTTTTCCTTGCTTTCCTTTGCCTTTGGCATCTTTACCTTTGCCCTTTTGATGGTCATTCTTGCCCTTCTTACCTTTTCCTTTGGCATCTTGGACTCGATCAATTGCAACACTTGTTCTCTCAAAGTTGAGTATTGAACATTGTCGCCAATGGTCAAACTCAAGTATGATTTGAGTTGTCCATCTACACATCTCAAAAGAATAGAAGATTTCAACTCATTTTGAAATGTCGTCCCTGCCTTGACCGTCTCATCAAGCACTTCTTCAAGCTTCAGAAGTTGAGGTTGTAATGCACTGTTCATTGAAAACGCTGGCCATGTAGTGGCTAGCCTTCAAAGTTGGCTTCAAAGCTTTGAAATATCCATTGGAGTCCTCCACAGCTTTCACCAACTGCAGTGCTCTTCCCCTCATCAATGAAGCTAACAACCCATAGAGCTTGATGCACCTGGTCTTCTCCTCTGTAGTTGCCAAGTCCATGTCAAACTTCTCATTTGGCTTGTCATGAATCTCCTTCAAGTCCTTCATGTAGCCCTCATCAACTGCACTCAAATATTTCTCAAACACCCATGACCACTCTCTGAATGCCTTGATCTCTTCTTGTTGTGACTTGTAGTCAAAGATGTTGGGCTTTGCTATCAATTTTGACCATCTGTCGTTGAACTTCTTGTCTTCAACTGCCTTCTTCACTGCCTCAGCTGCTGACGTTGTTGCTAGCGTACTCTGTGGCATAGTTTGAAGTGAAGGACTTCCCTGATCTCCTCCATCTCTAATGTGTACTAATGTCCTTCTGACACAACGTACCAGGTACGGAGTGTCGCTCACAACAATCTCTCACCAGTCCAGCTATTATTTGGGTTCCAAAGGCCCCAAATCCATGGCTCGGGGATCCCAGTGACCTAGGGGCTTTTCCTCCTGGAGCTCCAAGGGGGTTACCCTTATCCTTGCTCCGCTACTATGCGAACCTTTTTCTCAAGCCAAAAAGGCTGCAGTAAGGTCAGACACTGCTGTACATGCTATGAATACTGGCTGTGGTTTACCTTGAACATGCTTCACATATGTATATGTATATATATATAATTGTACACCTTATATGAATATATGATTTGATATATATATATATAACATATATGAGAGAGAGAGAGAGTGCAAATGCATCAAGATTACAGTAACTTGACACAAGGACAAGGGTGCACAGAACCCTGGCCCTAGCAGCATAATTGATCTTGCCACCGCAGGATTTGGAGAAGACATCTATCCGTGGCCTTCTGGGAGAAGACAACCCCGGACATCCCAGGACTGGCACATTGTGAGTTGAGGCCTCCATTTTCGCCGCACAAAGGGCTCCAAAATCCAAGCGCTCTGGGCGTTCGACCAGATGCGTTGACAAGTCTGGCAAACATTCTGGTTGGATTCAGGCTTTGGGATTCAGATGGCCAGGTTGTATACGGTGTAGAAGTGTTTGCTTCAACCAATCCAATCAGATAGAAGCCCAACAATTGGTGAATGTACAACTCTTACAAGTCTTCCGAAGCCAGTTGTAGAGTCACCCGATTGTCAAACAAAATTCTGGTCCATTCAGTCCAGATGTGCTTTACTGCTTTACAAACACTGCGACTGCCTCGCATTTCAACAACAGCAACAAGGCAACAATATTGCAAACCCAAAAAAGAAAACTCATCTGTGGGATCCGGCGTCTGCAGTTTAGACTATAGTATATGCTGCAAAGTGAATGGAAAATGAAAAAAGCGATCCTCAAACTGGTCAGCCCGCACACGCTTGATCTGTCTGAGTCTCTGGTCATTGTGAATTAGGGGTTCCAAAATGACAACAATAGATTATAATAGCATGCGTGGGTTTTGCTGACTCTCCCCCAAATTGAGCCTCCAAGGTTGCACATGTGCGGGTACCAACCAGGACTGGAGTGCATGATAGACCTAATTAGCTAGCGAGCACTGGAAGTACTGGGCAGGCGCTTGAAGGTTGCATCACAATACTCAGCAGCCTGTAATGTTGAGGCGACAAAAATGGACATTGAACCAATCACATCTGTGACGTCAGCCCCACAAAGAGCCTCTCGCTTGCCACGCTTGGGGCAATCCACAAAAGCCAGCGACAGGACCTGCGCACCATAGGAAAAAGCGCCAATTACCTGACACAGGGATTGGAGGACTGCATTTCATAGAACGGTGGTGGATGCAAAAGAAGTATACAACAATCAAGCATATAAGTCTCTTCACAGGCAAGTCGCATACAAGATATCAACCGCGCATGCCTTTGGAGCAGGACAGTTTCGTGCCGCTTCCTCAATGGACAAAAGAGCACGTGTGATCCAAGTGACGGCCGCCACACTGTCAAACACGCAGTTCGCCAGTGCAAAGTCGCGCTCAGTCTTATACTTGTGCTTCGCATCAATGGTTTTCACTTTCTGGTAAGCGCTCACCAAATCACGGGGCAGTCCTTTGGTCTGTGCATCGAAGAGGACATTCGGGAGTATGGCACGACCACCGGCAGAACCCGGACCGGCGAGGTTTCGCAGTCGTTCTGCTATCTCAGAAGACTTTCTTCTGTAAGCCGAGATGTTTCTGGACATCGGAAGGTCCCGGGCCGCAGGCCCAGGCTCGCTGAACTGTTCCGGGCTGCTGTCCGTGCCTCGCAAACGTCGCTTCTCTGGCTTGGCCAGATGCTTCCACCACCTCTGGAACACTCTCCAGCTGGTGTCTCTCGGATGTGTGAGGAAACAATCTTCATCGAAGCCATAGATCGTGGAGCCCGCTGTCGCCAAATCTCTCATAATAGCCGCCACACAGGAGCCTGCCTGATCAAGTGTGGCTGTGCAGGTGGAGGCTGCGCTGGTGAGAAAGGCCATGACCCAAATGAAGGATGTGATTGTATGAGCCACTGGTGCCGTGCAGCCCAGTGGTTCGTCATCGGGGCAAATCTCGGCACGGTAAATGTTCACCACCGCTTTGCCCAAATAAGTGGCCGCTTGGACGGTGTCGATCACACAGCTGGTGGTCACGATCTTGGCCTCGGTGGGGTAGTTTGCATAAGGCTCATCCGGATGATCGAATAAGTTCACATCCCACAAGGCGCGGTGCTGGATCTCGGGCAGCAAGGGGAGCAAGAGATCATGATCCGGTAGAGCATTCGCGGAGGTCTGTGACCCGGTCTCAAGCCACAAAACTACGCTCAGCAACCTGACTCAAAAGGCTGAGTCATCTGGGAAGGCCGATTTTTTGGGGGGCTGCTCCCTCATTTTGGTGGGAGAAGAAGACAAACCAAAAAAACAGGCATCTCAAGCTGCAAAGAATCTCGTGAGAAACATACGGCCTTTCAATGATTGTCCAAAAGAGAAACGAGATGGAAATCATCTATCTCAAAACCTAGATGCAACAAATTGCTGGCAATGAGGCCCCAAACCAAGCTCGTTGCTTTGAAGCACTTCCTCTGTGTCTGGTCTTCAGACTCCGACACCATGAGACGTTGATCCTCCGCCATGGCCGAAGTCAGGAAGTGCCCGACGAATGTGCTGCTCGGGGTGCAAAATGCCTTCCAAATAGAGGTGTTGGAAGTTGTGTGTCCACCATGGACCATGGAAGGTTTCATGACGTCCGCCTCAAGACCACAACAGTAGCTTCTGATCAATCACCAATCTTCAAGCATGTGAAAAAGAAGCTTTGACTTGAGACCCGCCAAAACCTCTGAGTTCACCTTGAGGAACTACCCAACCATTTGTGCTCGTTCCATGCACAGTTCATCCTGACCCTCGCGCCCCAACGCGCACCCTCTTGCCATTCATACTCGCCATGAGCTCTAAAGCCTCCAGGCAAACCCGATGCGGCGGAGCACTCCAGTGGAGCTGGTCCGGACACCGGCCAGTCACTGAAGGGTTTGAAGGGTCTGGAACTGAAGGGTTCGCAAATCCCTCTTTGCCAATTTATGGAGTCAAAGAACCCGCAAGAATCAGCAAGAATGGCTATATAAGGCTTTATATATATATATACACCTTTTTGTACAAGAGAGTAGTCTTCGGGGCAATGTCCCTCTTAGGTTCTTGGCAGAGGCCCTTTTCGAAGGTCGGTCGGAAGTCCGTGCAGCCTCTCAAAGACGGAAGAAAACACCCCGGAAGTTGGGGAAACCAAAACCCGTTGGTTGGGGTGTTTCCTATCAAATATATAAACCCACTTAGGTGGAACAACTAACAGATCCAAGATCAGCCTTCTGCTTCTTGGCTGAAGTGCTGTTGCCTGACCGGTCTAGTACAGCAAGCTTTTGCCCTGGAGCACCCACTGGTAACAAGCATCAGGTCTGCTGGCCCCAAGGCGGTTGAGAGGTCTGTCTTTCCTCGACTTGCACTACACGAATCCAACCCACCAAATCCTGCAAACTGACATAGAAAGGCAAACCAGGGACTCCTGGACCACAGAGTCAGCGTTCACTGAGAAAGACCCATTTGTCTCCCCTTCCCAGCTTCGAGGATGCCTTCACTGACTCCACTTGACCACGTGCGGCCAAGAAGTAGGCGGTGTCCTCAGTCTCCACGGCACTCTTCAGTCGAAGAGTCTAGATGGACAATGATCAGAGTGCCCGGGGCAGCTGCGTTGAATTCCAGCAAGACATTCGGAATTCCAGCAAGACATTCGTTTGTTCATCGGCCTCGCCGATCTGAGTCAGAAGAAACCCTTGTAATATTCAGAGACCTTCTGCTCCGCAGTTGGTTCCAACCCAGGCTCCAATCGTGCTCCACCCCCAGTTGGCTCATGGAACACTCTCTCTCCATGACTCCATGACCGCTCTGCTCCACCCGGTGAGTCATCCGATCCGCGCCAGTCCCAGGGTCCCGACCACGCGGGCCACGGGACTTAACAGCCCGAAGGCCAATAACAAGCACCTTGGATCGGCCGAGCCGCGTCGCGTCGCGTGCTCGCTGCGTGGGCCGCGAGCGGTGTCTGAAACGCTGGAAGCCAAATGGAGTCTGGATTGAACACGTGATGAAAAGAGGCCAGGTGAGCTGGATTGAACTGGGTCAGAGTCATATTCTGGCAAAATTCCATGTTCCATCCACTCAAGAATGACGAGGTCGGATCTGGGACGGTCAAGGATTTGGTGATGTGGAGCCTCCAAGCTGCCCCCAAGATACCCAGAAAGATGTCCGGGAAAAAAGACATGACCGCCAAGCTGATGGAGTCAACGTTCGAGTATCCCAAGCTGTAAGCCGGATTTCGGTCGGGGCTCCGGAAGGGTGAGCAGTGTGAAGTAGAGATGTCAAAGGGAAAAAGGTATGCCAAACGAGAGTTCTCTAAATGCATGCGTGTACGGACAGAAAAGTATCAAAAGTGAACAAAAGTGAAGAGTTCAAGAGAAAAGTCTCACAAAGAAGAGAGTTCTCGAGAAAAGCAGCAAAAACAGAGGTGTCCAAAGGAAACGTATCTCAAACATTTCACTTGACCTTCACTTCACTTCACCACAACACAAACCACCGCGTCATCCTTCATCACCTGCCAAATCATTACAGCACTCATCACACATAACACATTCCTGATATTGTTGGACACTTCCGCCAGCCCGCATCAGCCCGCTACATATCTGAATCTTAAGTATTCTTAAGCCACGTATACGAAGAAAATAACGGCAGCTTTTGTATGCCAAGGAGATCTTCTGAACCCAAACCACTGATCCGTTCTGCCCTTCTTCCGAGGAGCGGAGGGATGCCGATCCACAAGAGCACCTGGCGCCAGTGCTTTCCCACTAAGTCCTGCCGGGGGGCAGGAATCCGTGACGTCCGGACTGATCCGGACTTGTCAAAATGTGTGGTGTCCGGATCTGGACAAAAACCTTGGGTTCTGCCGGCCTCTAGTCAAGCAAGATGGGGTATCTTTGAGTGTTGATCCAGGATGGAGTTCGACTATTGGATCACGAATAGTGGATCATGAGTGTTGGAGATCGCTATTGATCACCATATACATTGTATTTATACCCCCAAAGAGATCCCAGCAAGATTCAATGTGAGCTTGTGAACCCAAACCACTTCCATCATCTACAAGCATTCAATAGACCCTTCGAACCGTGGTCATCGTTCTTCGCGCCACCGGGAGGTCTCTCCGGCAATAGAAGCTGGAAGCCCAGCGCACACCACAAATCTCCACCTCGCTCGATGCCGTGACGTTCAGTGACCGCCCAATTCGGTGTGTACTTCGTCCTTCCAAGGATCCTGGCCCTGGTGTTTGGGGGGCCAAAACCTCCACAGCGAACCCCCCACGACCGAGCCTGCTCCGCCCGAACGAAGAACGAAGAACTCCAAAAAAAACACCTCTGGGTCCCCCTTGGGGCGAAAAGAACTTGTTCGACTCATCTCGTCTCTCTCTCGGTGGCCCGGCAGCAGAAGGCCAACGACATCGCCGCGTTGGTGACGCCACGCAGACGAGTGGGGCAGACCTCGATCCAAAGGAGTTCTCCACTGAGACCATGAGGTCTAGCTCTGCCTGGTGGCTCTGCCTTGTAAAACCGGGGAAATGAGCTGATGAGCTGTGTCTGTCACGTGAAAAAGACTAACAAATCAGCCAACAAAGAACATAATCCATGTTCTCAACTGACTTCCAACGGAGGCGCTCTACATTTGGACTTCAATGAGGTGACTTACACGTCCATTCATTCAGCCGGACACAACCAAAGAACCTGTCCCGAAATCCTCCCCAACACGGGGATTGGGCTGATTCCAGGGTTACTTCTCCCCTAGGCCCTATGGCATCGGGAAGAGATTTAAAAAACTATATATTAGCTTAAAAATAAAAAACAGTGAAAATGAATTCAGCACCAACCCAACCGGGTGCAGGAGGGGCGTCTGCCGGTGTGAAAACCTTCCAGCAATGAACCCCCACCTCGGCCAGAGCGATGAAGGCAGCAGGGATGCCCAGTCCGGCAAAGAAGCCAAAGGAGCTGAAGCCTATGCCTGACTGGAGCTGGTTTGGGGGGGTTAAACATGTTTTTTCAGATGGGTTCTTGCGGATGTTTCTGGTACTTTGTTCCCTTTTTTCCTGGTGTTGTCATGTGTTCCCATTCCTGAAGTAACATGGATCTGGAATTTGGAGCTGGAAGATCAGGACTTCCTCTACTGGGGGTGCTTTGTCAGTGTTGATGTGAGTTTGTGAGGGAGGTGCCCGCCCCATCTACCCGAATTCTCACGTTTCAATTGCTTTCGAATTTTTGGGGGTTACTGGTAGCTACTTGCTCCTAGTAGTACGGCCAGGAGCCCCTAGTAGCGTTCTTGCTCTTAGTAGCGATGCCAGGAGCCCCTAGTAGCTTCTTGTTACTAGTATTTGCAAAACCCTTGCTGGCCAGCTTTCCATTCCAATGATGTATGCCTGCCTGAAGGTCGTATGAACATACACATGTCACATTGGTGTCTGTTGAAATATGTCCAAGCAATTCTGCCAGTTCAGTAGAGGACAAGAAGTTGTGAAATAATCAAACCCTGCTACTGTACCAAGAATCTGACTTGCTCTCCCGGTCATAACAAGGTTTCTTGAAACCTCACGATGGTTTTTGATGCGTTCGTGGCTCTGTATGTGGAGATCTCTCACCCGAACCCCAGCCCCAGCGGAGTGTTTGTTGGATTCCCCGTTGTGAATAGAGCGACTCTCTGCACTTGGTCACCTTTCAACAGCTGAAAGCATGCGAAGGATGCGAAGAAAGGCCAGCCAGACAACCAAGATACACAAGGAGGCATAGCTGGACAGGAAGTAAAGGCCTCACATGGAATTCGTGGCGCTTCCACTTCTCGACAACAAACCACACGGCACTCATGACCAGTCACCTGTGGCATGACTGGCGGATCGACAGTTGGTTGCGACCCCCAGCCATTGACAGGTGCAGGCTATTCTAGATAAGGCAATATTCCTCAGCATGGATATGCCGTCCGGGTACAGTAAATGTATGTAAATGTAATGAATATGGCAAAGGAGACCGTAACAAGACCTTGAAGTGTCTGAATTCTGAATAATTGTGTCTTTCCATGTCCCCTGTTGTCCGTGCCGAATCATTCCATGCATCATATTATGCATCCGTCCTGATGCCAGTTTCCTCCCAGAGAATCCGAAAGGACCCACAAGAAGAAACGTCAACCTCCCACTGAGATTGGACTATTAGATGTTAAGCCAATGCACGTTCGAGTGGCGCCCCTGTTGAAATAAAACTCGGAGGTCTGCGAGTAGGCGCCTTCGGAAGGAAACACCCAGTTCTTTCCGACCAAACGGGCTCGACGAGAAAATGGAACCTCTTCCCAACTCCGCCTAGCAGTGAGCCACACATGCCACAGTATGCCACCATGATCGGCAGCCGTCGCCCGGCATAATCGCCCAAGGAGCCTGGGGACCCAAAGGCGATTGTGGTGGAAACCTCCTTGGAGGTGAAGAATTCCATGTGAACAGAGTGCAGTGGCTGTAGTTGTACTGGTTGATTCTACCCCTTGGATAGAAGGATATCTGGGGTGTGCCTTGGGGTTTGGGACCCTTTCTGAACTGGCACTGGGCAAATCGGTCCTTTTCTCTGGCTTCCACATAAGACCACTTTCAGAATCACAAAAACATGGCCCTGGCCCCGAGAATTATGAATAAACCACCAAAGACTTTGGGATGAAACCATCCACTCCTTGGAATGCCTTCGAAGTCCCAGCCTGAGCTGATGGTGCCCAGCGCAAAACCCATGTAGGTGGAGAGCATCTGAGCCTCCTGAATTATGCAAGCACAGCGCATGTGGTTCATACTTGCATGAAGGCTCTGCGACAGAGAGGCGCGTCTGCAAAGGCCCTGAATGAGACCTCTACTTGGAACTTCGGCTTGACACCTTTTCACTGCTCAGACATTTGAGCGGAACTTGCACTCGCAAGCTCTCTACTACTCTACTTATACTTGGAATCTGACGTTGTGGCAGTGCACAACCCAAATTCGCCACTCGCCCACAGAAACACCCACACGAACGTATGTATACGTGCATATGTATACGTATGTACTGTCTAGGTAAGTGACGTATCTGCCCTGCAATGCGTGCCTGAGCAAGGTCCCCTTTCACATTGAACTCCTCAAGGGGCGGGCATGGGGCAGGAGTGGTTCCCAGAAAAATGATCCGCTCTCTGCACGTCGCACAGGGCCATTCAGGGTCATTTAAGTCAAAACAATGTCTGCTCACCAGCTTGATATGATATGCTTTTGATATGGTATGCTTTAATTATGGTCTAATTATATCTAATTCATTCTATATCGTCTATTTTTTCGCTCTCACCTATCACACCTGTCCTTCATAATGGCAGACGACAAGGCTGCTGAGGTTTGCATGCCGGCTGCTTCTGCCACCACCACGCCTGAACGACAACGCCTCGACGTTCGACCTGGAGAGTCAGACCATCGATCCAACGGACCTGGAGAGTCACACCATGCAGCATGTCCTATCCCAGCTTCCCAGCCTGCGCAAAGCACAAAGACATGGACCTGGTAGAGGCCAAAGCCAATCTCCTTGATTTTCTCCTTGGACAGATATGTTGATGGAGGAGCTTCCAGCGTGCTGCATGTGTCCAAGATGGGTCACCACAAGATTCAATGCGCCTCAATAGAATATCTACAGTTGGCATCCTTTAATATGGCATTTAGTAGTTTAGCATGAACTTCGTGCCCAGGCAACCCGACAATTCTCGAGCTGTGAGTCACAAAACAGTTCTGTGGCTCAAATCCTTGAGAGTCATTCTGTGGTTGACAAATGTCGACAGTAAGCACACCCAGATCTGCAATCAACGAATTCTATCTATATAATTTATATAATTCTAGACGATTCCAGGACGACAAGTATTGAAACGTGAATGATGGTCAGTAGACAAGGTACCAAAGGCAATCTCCCAATTTGAACTTCTGGGAAGATCGTGGAAGACAACTGATCCAAGTGCCCGAAGTGCTTCTCTCACACACTCACCACCAGTCTTGTGAATTATGGCTCTAAAGGGCCTAAGTTCTCACCGCCTCACCCTTCTACACCCCTTCGAGACCCACATGAGTCACCACTACGTGGTCCTACCTCCTATTTCGAGACCCTCATCTTCACCCTCTTCTGCCTGTTCTTCCACACACGCTTCTTCTCCGTTTCTCAGTGCCCGGGCCGAGAGTGACGGTACCCCGGACGTGGCCGGCCTCGGGAACTTACCCCTGGAGGTCCTTTGGAGCCCGGGAAACTAAGAGTGATGGCCTCCAAGCCAAGAGCGATGGCCTCCACCAAGCGGTGTTTCGTTCTTGATCTGATATAAAGACATGAGTGGACCTTTCTTCTGTGCATCTGCTTCAAGGAAAGGCTAAGACTAAGATGCCATGCTGTTCCTACTTTGTGTAGCTGGTAGCCGACAACTCCTTGCTGGTGACAATCTGACAAGGAACTATCGTGCTGAGGCAGGCTGTGGTTGTTCAAGTGACTTCTGTTAAAAAGAGCACTCTGTAGGTACCGATAGCTGACACTATGTGATTCTACACGATGATTGGCCAAGTTGGGTATATAGGTGTACAAGTGGATGGGGCCAAGAATATATTACCCCGCAAACATACTCCTCTTTGACGATACGAAAAAATCTCAGCCGGCCAATTCAAGTCTCTGGAGATCCACTCGGCCTGCCCGCCATGGCAGGAGCTTCACTTTCGAGTTCACAATTCCCTTTGGGCCACCCCACGCTTCACCGCGTTCTCGCACCATGGGGAGAAAGGGGGGAGATACTGGGTGAATCCCAGGTGAACGCCCGAAGAGGGAGGAGGCAGTGAGAATCTAAGGATATCATTGATTGGTTCCAAGAAGAACATTCACTTACTGATTCTGCTGTCCTCTGTTTTGTTTGGTCTACATGCTGGGACTGAACCTTTTCACACGATCGCTCCTCCCTTGGATAAGGTTTCGGTGCGGTCTGAAAGGTCGCACGTCATGGAGCCTCCAGGTTCCGGGCGACACTCTCAGGGTCAGGACATGTCGGAGAAGTTGTTCTTCTCTGGGTCGGATTTTGGGCTTAACTTCTGGACACTCTACACTCTCACAATCACGGAAGCGGAATGGGATAGCCATGGTCCTCGGTCTTCGTGGACGGTTTGGTCTTCGCGCCGACCTAGCCAACCCCCCTGACTGTGACTAAGTCGGGTATTGAGTAAGCTATACTGTACTCCAAATGAGAAGATACTTGAAAGGGAATCAACCTCTTCCGGATTAAGACCTAGAAGGAAGCAAATTCGCAGTATGGGAGCAATGCGCCCACATTGGAGCACCAACCAAAGCGCCCCAACGAAGACAATCTTTACAGAAGATGACAGAACTACAATCCCAATACTGTTGGCAGTTGGGGTGTGTCCAGTACTCCTCTCGGAGTACCCCGTCCCATCCGGCAACCCCATCTCGGTGCTTTCTCTGCGGCGCGTCTCGTCGACGACGTACGCTCGACCCCCGTCTCAACCGAAGCGGCACGGCGCCAGGCGCGGGGGACGCCCAGGCCTATCAGCAGCCATCTAGGTGAAGTTTGAAGTGATACAGCTTCTTGTTTCTAGTAGCTACTTGCTCCTAGTAGTACGGCCAGGAGCCCCCGTTCGTAGCGTCCGATCGCTCCGTTCGTAGCGATGCCAGGAGCCCCTAGTAGCTTCTTGTTACAGGTTAGATACTGGACCTGGTACTCTGATGGCAGTATAACCGACCGATGGAATTTCAAAATCCACAGGCGGTACGGAACTCGAAGATGGTCGAAACCGGCATGAGCTGTGAGGGTCCACCATGTTCCAAGTTCAATTTCGCTCTCACCCGAAGGGCGCTGACCAACTACACGTCCTGCTGACCCGGACGACTTCCCAGCGGCAGAAGCCGAAGGCTGGGGCACGGTAGCTACCCTACCGATGCGCTGTGTGGAATGAACATGGCCTGCGAAATCCCTTCCGGTGCTGTTGGGACCTTCAGGTATCTTGAAAGTGATCCTCAATCCCCATGAAAGAGCGATCGCAGGCCCAGACCGGATCACCACTGGATTTTTGCTCGGTGGTAAATGCCATGCCTTTGGGATGCCTTGGCGCCTGCTGGAGCCTTTCCATTCATCTCAAACCAGGTGTACGTCCGTGACACATGAAAGTAGAGTTCACAAGCTGTTTCTAGGGGAAAATGGGCATTCCTTGTGGGGCGTGTTTCACTTCCATGATTATTAATATGTCAGTAGTGGATCCATCATGATCTATCTATCTGAAGCAAAAATAGAAGCTCTTCTCGCGCTCGTCGTCACTGAACACAACGGGTCTCAGCGGGGGTGAAACACGGCCGGTCGGGTCTCGACACCTCCAAAGAGGTGACATGAAGGTGGTTCCATCCAGAAGGAGCTGACGATTCGCAAAATGTATTCGCTATGTGTATCAAGGCTTTTCACTGGATGCCGGACGATCTCTATGTGGAGTAGTTCGCTAAATGATATGGTCGAAATCCTTTTGGGAAGAACCCCTTGCATTGACACATCATGATCTGTTGGTATTTTTGGCTGGAACCCGGAGACTCTAAGCTGTGTTCTCAAACCAATACGTTCTTCAATGAGGTTGTTTCCTTCCCATTTCCCTGACTGCCATCCTTCGGCCTGAGACTTTGAGCTGATCCCCGTAGCCAAACCAACACATGTCGCTTGAGCAATTTCCAAGGGGCTAATTCACAAGCACCCTGACATGAATGAATGTAAATGGTTGATGCCGTATGGCATGGTAGAAAGATGTAAAGAGTGATTTCCCTGACCCTGCTGACCTGGCCACTTAGGTTTTTTGTATTTGAATGTTCATTCTGTGTCCGTTTATTAAAGCCAAATCCTTTGAGCCGTTTATAAAACGATTCCATCTTCCTGAATTGTTTCCTACTGAAAATCCCATAAGATCCCACATAACGGTGGTTGGTCCAAGAACTGTGTATTGCATCTTGCTCCTTCACAATTTTACTTTACTACTAAGATGGAGACTTGAATTCTGCCTTCAGCTCCGCTCCCACACTTCGGGGGCTCAGACTGTGCTGCGAATTCCTGCTCCAGCAGAAGACACCCGTGTCAAATGCCGCGATGCCCACGCTGCTCCATAGGAGCAACAAAACAAGGGATCATCAAAAACTTCAACCCAATTCTTGTTCATCTATTGTTTGTAGCAGGTTGTGTGCCAGTGTCTGGGGTTGGGGTTGTCTACATCCAGTCTGAGAACCACAAGGCGTCACAACGGCGCTGCTGGCGACCTGCTGCCAAGCAATCATCGAAAGGATGCGATTGGCACATCACGAATCTCTACTGAACTACCAATTTCCTCGCAGAAAAGAGAAAGGCCTATCCTTCACAACAAACAGACGCCGGGTGCTTTCACCTCTTTCTCCAACTGAGTTCTGTGTGAAGCAGCGATAGACAGCTGAGAAACGTTGTTCCTAAGCATCACCGGAAGCTGTTTCCTCACCGACCCCCCCACTCAATTTCAGACCATCGACAGATCGTTTCCGAAAAGCTTGCCGTTATATACTAGTGAATGGGTAGCCAACACAATGATAATGCAGATCCATCAAAAATTAATCTTCAAGCATCCAGAAATGGCTTGGCGAGGGCGGTGCGAGAAGCTTTGGGCTGGCAAAGATGGGTCCTGACCCTGATGTGGCGTTTCCTCTTGGCTTCTGGATGGCGATTCCGTGGTAGCGCGCATACTGCGCATGTTCATAGATGCTCTTGTGTCTTTAAATTAGAAGGAAAACATATGCAAAAACTGGTTGAACTCGGCTATTTGTCGCCTTCTTCAGATAAAGCTCGATCCACAGCAAGTCTTCATGTCAACAGCTTCCCCAAAATCCTTTAGTGCTCACAGTGCTCACTCAACAAGCGACCCGCTGGATGGAGCTATGTTGAAATAACATGACTTACAAGTGTTGCTTGCTTTCAGTCTGAGGTGTGGTCATCGATTCCCCATGGTTCAACATTGTGAAGTCGTCTATCATATCCTCATGATATGGCTGCTTTTAGACCAGGTGCACCAAACCCAGAGGTACGTCAATGCCTTTGAAGATCTTTGAAGGAGTACTTCTGACGTCCGCATCCCACACCTCTTTCTGTTGGCATCGGGATTCATTGCATCCCGCGACCCACCGCAGAACCCACGAACCGCACCGAAACCGAAAGCTCTTCGGACCTCTGAAGCGAGGCCGCCCTCAATCAAAGCTGAAGGAGGAAATCGCGGTCACCTGGCACTCACCGGTCCGAAGAGGCCATTCGCCGGGTTCCGCGGTGAGTTCACCGGGCGAAGGGAACCTGGACGGATGCGGTGAACTTTGGAAGCTCTTGGATGAAACTCAAAAAAGGCCCGTCGTACAGTTCGGTGGGTGAAAAAACCCTCAGCCTCTCCACATGAGGTCACTTTCTGCGAAATTCAGACTTCTCCTGGGGAGCTTTCAGTCAGTATGGTTGTATTCGGAAACTGGAGGGATGTATTTGGAAACTGGACGGTTGTATTCGGAAACTTGTATTCGGAAACTACAAAACTATAATCGGAAACTGGTACGGTTGTATTCCGAAACTGGCACGGTTGTATTGGGAAACTGGAGGGATCTCGGAAACTACGAAGACCAACACCAAACATTACATGGAAACAAAGTAAAACTACAGGGAATTGACTTCTTCGCACCGCGGAGACTGACAAGCTCAGTAGTAAGTAGTGAAGGCACTATTTATTAGTAAATCAAGCTCACTTACTGGTGTATACTGTACACTGTATACATGTTTGTCATTTCTGGTTTAGCTTTGTATTGTCGGCCTCTTCTCGGCTTCCATGGCAGTACAAGTTCAACACCCCAAGTCGTATTCAGACACTGCGCTGTATTCAGAAACTATTTTCGTTGTATTCAAAAACTATGTCGTCGTATTCAAAACTACTTTGTCGTTTTCAGAAACTAGTTTGTTGTATTCAGAAACAATTTTCGTTGTATTCAGAAACTATTTTCGTTGTATTCAGAAACTACTTTCGTTGTGATTAGAAACTATCTGCGCTGTATTCAGAAACTACTTTCGCGGTATTCACAAACTACTTTCGCGGAATTCAGAAACTATGTTCCTCGTATTCTGTACAATTTGTGGGGGGTGGGGGGGGGGGGGGGCGGGGCAATAAACATAGGTCATAGGTGGGTAGTTGCGTGAAAAGTTGATGATCTCTAGGATGAAGGGGTGTATGTTCTTCCAGATCTGCATTTGTCTCTGCAGCTCACGTACTTAGCTGCTACTCCTCCCAGGTCTTCGGACCCGAGGTGCCCCGTGCGCGCGGTCCCGCGCGCTCGACCCGCGCGCTCGCTCGAGCTGCGCCTCCTCCTTCGTCTCGCTGCGCACCTCCGCGGCGCCGGAGCTGCCGCCAAACCTCGGGGGACGGTGAGGGTGACCGGGGGGGCGGGGGGTTTTGAGATCGTGGAACGGGTCTTAAAGGAGATGAGGGAAGGAGGTTTTCTTTGGGGGGAGGTGGCCTTGATGAGAGGTGAGGTGAAGTGGCAAAGATGAGGGGAAGCGTTCCGACTGAATCACCTAACAACAGGTGCACCCATCCATTCCATCCATGTCCGAAAGCAATCTGCCTATGTTCAGTCTTTAAGAAGATGAACGTGGAACAAGATGTTTCACTACAAGAACCCTTCAACTTCCGACATCCTCTGTGTCTGAGGTCCTGGATGCAACTCGACAGGGGTGTGTTCCC